TGTAAAACGTTTACAAATGAATTTTTAAAACAATTATTGAGTAGACAATACTTACAAGATGTGTCTTTTCATTCAGTCCTTTCAAACGCACTTGAGGAAATAACAATTCTAAGGAGGAGCCGACCTTTTACTTGAGGCTACTCATCCGCCTCCAAATGTAAAATAGTTAAAAATTTCCCTCCGGCGGTGGCAATCATAAAAATTAAATTAATCCTTTTTTTTAAATAATCACGTACGGACCATATTTATTTCAAATATAAATCTTTATTTAAAAGAAGGTACAGTACATTTACGCTAGCCAACATACATCAGACCTCTCATAAGTACAGATAATACATACAAATGAAAATACTGTGAAAGAAATTATATAAATGAATAAAAATTGAGTAACATTCAATCAATATAATATAATCACTGGTTTGCATTTCTTACATCAAGTATCTGCATTATAGAAGCATTCTATAACCAGAAATGCATAATAGTGTGATGTTTTAAAAGAATTGAGAACATTATGACGAAAAGTTACGGGTACTATGATGATGTCACAATAAATAATCGCTGATTAGAATTACAGTAGTTCGGTTTTTGGTTACGGCAACGCGACACGTGAACGATCTGCCAGGGGATATAACCAAAGAATTTTATGGGAAGCTAGACCCTACTTAGGTGGCGAAACCCAGAAAACTCGACGTGGCCAGCCCGTTTACCATGTCCGAACCCACGACTAACTACCAGTATTTGGCAGTTTTATCCATTCGGCTACTGGAGGGTGTTTATAACAATTAAGAAAGTACTATTCACAAATGAAAAAACACGAGTTGTTAGATGTGGAAAATTAAATACTTATAGACTTTTCACTTAACACTTTCGACTGCACGCAGGCAAGTTCTATATCCTACCTGCCTCAGTAATATTTATTGCGCGTCTATTTCGCGCTGTATCATTGTCGCAGTAATTAAGTGAATATAATATGTATATTATGAAATTATATACTTTTTAATAAGGATTATATGTAGTTTATTATTTTGTTAAATTTTTGTCAAGGGCGCTACGTGTAAATCATCAAATCTAATGTAGATAGAACTTAATTGATTTACAGAAATCCAATATTGGGATGTACTGTACGACATTAAGTTAGAAGTGTTTAAACGTAACTGCTGAGTTTCGTAGCCATTGGTCGAACGGCCTAAAAATATATAGGAAAAAAAAAAATCAAATATTCTCATTTATATACAGGGTGTATCAGAATGACATTTTAAAAATTTGGGGGAGTGTAAAGAATGAAATTTTGAACGTTTTGATATAAGGAACCCATAGCCGGAAATGTGATATAAAGTTTCTACAGCACTTTGCACTCGGTATTCTGAATGAAACAGCAGAATACAGTATTTATGACAAGTTTTATTGATCAAACTGTACATCGAATCAGTGGCTGCACTACGTTAGACTTCGTTACATATCGGTAATGTGCAACGACGAACCACGTTTTGTCCGACTCTCTGTAAGATACCACGCTCCTCTCTGACTGTATTAAATGCTGTAAAAAATGCTCTCCGTAAGATCATGAACTGTTCCTACAAGTGTTGCGTACACAAGGGACTTTACATAAGTCCAGAGTCAAGAACAATAACGTGACGTCAATAGACGGAAGGGTAGCTACCAAAGGGCAGTCAAGCACTTCCTATCGCTGTAGAAACTTTATATCACATTTCCGGCTATGGGTTCCTGATATCAAAACGTTCAAAATTTCATCCTCTACAATCCCCCAAATTTTTAAAACGTCATTCTGCTACACCCTGTATATAGAAAGCAAGTGACTTAATTTTGAGGGTAGAGATTAGTTTTATAAAACAGTGTAAGTGCTAACGAGTAAAATCTTCATTAAGACTGATCCCGCGCGAGGTATGACACGTGTCCACCCTCTCTCTCCCCCTTTGACCTTTCAATTGAACAGACACACGTCAACGGAATTTGTTTCCATTTTTTGACTTTTTTGGATTCAGGTCTCAGAACGTGTAGCTTGGCTAACAACTCTGAGATTAAAATTTGACGTGATTCCAATGCTTTCCTTGTTATGTATATATATAACAGCAGGGAAAGTAAAATGTGAATTTTGTTTGGAGCGAAATACAGATTGTCAGTGTTAGAAAGACTCATTTGCTAAATGTATAACTATTTTGTGCATTATAATTATTGTAGTTAAAAATGATGTATAACGAACGAAATGCGTGGGGATTAGAAAACTTTCTACTTTTAACAATACTAGGAATTTATAAATAAAAGTATGAAAAATATTAAATGATATAAACTAAAGACACTTAGCTTATAAACAATTAGAACGATTTAAAATTTTAAACTATAAAGCTGCTAAAGCATAATTTGTAAAGTTCGTGTATCTTTGTCATAATAGAGTTTATTGTTTGAAATTTAAAAATAAAGTCGCGAGTTGTGATTTATGATAATGTTAATTTTTTTTTTAATTTGCGAGTTTTATTAACTCCCGGTTTATTAAAATCCGATATCAAATTGATGTTATTTAAGCTATGTTTTATGATAATGTTGACGAAACGTAAACTTTTACTCTTAAAATAGCGAGTTTTTACAATACAGTAATTAAATAAAATAGTTATTGAGCTGCAATTTAAAAAATTGTAGACCTATAAATTCCCACTATCGTCCGTCCTTCCTTAATCTCAAGAACGGAGTTAAACACATGCAAGTCGAGACCAGATAGTTTGGGAGCAGAAAGCCCCGATTAACTATAATAAAATTTCCCATGCAAACCGGAAATCACATTATTTCGATTCAAAACTTTCCCCCCGAAAGGAGTTAGATAGATGACTGGCACGACTCCATTGCTAACGGAAAAGTATGATGTACGGGGGCAAGACATTACATTATACTAATTTGAAGTAGAAAACATATATTTTAAATTAAATCAATTTAAAATATGATAAAAAAATTGCTGCTCGGCATTGTGACGATCTCGCAATAAATAATTGCTCGTTTACAATATGCACTCTTCCTGTGACATCACAATACATCCAGTTCAGGCCCGGTAGGTATCAGGTGGCCAAGACGCATCCATTATCTTACGTTTTGTGTTTCGGTTCGTGCAGCCGTGTATATGCTTTGTTCGCATTGTCTCAGTCGTTCGTTTCTTATAATACTCTTATGTTATCAAATACAACTATAAGTAGCGAACTTGCTTCTCATATACGTAACTAAACTTTTGTAAGTAGGCCTATAATATTCTTGTGTTCATTGTTTTAATATTAATCGTAACGTACCATTATTTAAAAATAAGAATTAGTCTTACGTCATCAGATACCCACCTACATATACTAAGTCCTTTCGGTTACTTTTCGGGTATAAGCCTACACAAGTGCGAGTGAGCCCTATCGACGATAAAATGCCTAAAAAGAAAGTCGTAGTTGTCACGAAATACATCGGTGAGGAGGAACCGCCGGAAAGCTTGTTACTTTCCGATCTACAGTACACATAAACTACCTTAAAATCCGGACTACATTCTTTCCTACAAACTCCCACCATTTGACCGATCCGGACCAAATTGCGCATAATTACTCTCCAGTACCCTACTGGAAATACGGACTACCATAAAACTAGAACACTCACTCCTCTCCGATTTCATTCTCTTACCTCTAAACTCCCAACCTTTTCGGCCATCTGAACAAATTTTGCATAGTCACTCTCCGCCCCCTGCGAGAAACACACGCTAACCATTAATGAGGACAACTCAATTCCTCCTCGAGTTCCCAGGCAACGCCAGGCGTTCTTCGCTAGTATCTAATAACACCGTTCGAGTTTTTGCCATCCTACATTTATTCTATTTATCAACCTCTAAGTAACTCATTATCTGTCCATAAATACGACTCCAAGTAATTGGAATTTCCATTTTTATAACTCATCCCGAAGTCAAGTTTCCTCTCTTTCCTCTAGCAACCCGTGTCTAAATTCCAAGAACTAAATCTCCTACCGACTTTTAATCCCCTATCCGTAATCTGTTCCTAACCTTTCCCGGCTTAACTTTTTGTGAATAACGTACAGTACATACGTCATAGCTCCTTTTTCGGCAAAGAACAGATACTGGCTTAAAGTTAAATGTCGATAAACTCCAAATCCGTACTACAGGAAATCCTAACTCCCCATTTTGTAACACTTACTTGTTAGTTTAACATTTCTATACATTTTCCTAATTAAACTCGTATAATTTTAGTCGACCTTTTCTTCCAGACTCAAAAAGAGGGTTCTCGATAATCTCCAAGGCATCCATCCCATAATAATAATCTATACTAATATTATAAAGAGGTAATGTTTGTAAGTATGTAAGTTTGTATGCAGCAGGTAATCTCCGAAACTACTCATCCGATTTCAAAAATTCTTTCACCAATATTTAGAATGGAACATCAGGTTGGACATGGGCTGTATATTATTCCGTTAAACATTCATATAAATTAAAATATATAACCTAGGTTAAGGCTTTTATGTCCAACAGATGGCGTTACGAGTACGACGCCCTAAGTTTGCTTTTCTGTGAGGCATTGTTTTTCTGTGAAAATGAAGTAAAGCGGATCATCTATCTATCTATCTATATAAATAAAAATGTAATGTTCGTTTGTTCCTACCGATTCCTTTGAAATTTTGACACAACGCTGCATTCGAATACGCACGTGTTTTTATATAATATACGTGTCGAAACCCCCCGCGGGAGATGGACAGGATTAAGGCTTACCGTAAAGAACACTGCTTCTATTTATACTATTTTAGATGCGGTTTTTTGCGTTTTTGATTGCGTTTTAATAGGATACGTCAACAGAATATACACTACAGAGGGATTTTTCGATATTCCCCCCGCGGGGGAGAGGGACAGGATTAAAGCTTACCGTGAAGAACCTGGCTTCTATTATACTATTTCAGATGCGGTTTTTTGCGTTTTTGATTGCGTTTTAATAGGGTACGTCAAGAAAATGTACACTAAGGGATTTTTTGAAAAATTCCCCCCCACGGGGGAAGTGTTATACATTTATTATAGATACATTTTGAGCTACAACAACGCGTGGCGGGGTCTGCTAGTAACTTATAAATTCAACCGTAACCGCGAGATGCGCTCCATCCGTTCGCCACCTCCGTGAGTAGGCATCCGAAAACGAGAAGCAAAGAAAAAGGACGGCGGATCTACGATTGTAAAATAGGCGTTTTCGGAGGCGGAAGTTAAAAAAAGGCTCCCGATGGTAAAAGTAACCGTAGTACGGACGGCCAGACTATCGCTCTCCAACCTAAACTACCACCGCAGGTAGCAACGTGTGACACAGGAATTTTTAATTAAAGAAATGCCGTGCGCGCAGAGGATTAAAAGAACGTTCGTTTCTTTTATAATTGTTAATTTTAAAAACGATTTATTTTTTAAGACTTTCAAAAGTAAAAGGTTTGTTATTTTTTACCAAAAACTCGACCGGTTTAAAAGCGACATTTTTGTAACGTTTACATGGAGACCGTCTCGGGGATGGTCTTTATTCTTTAGTATTTGCCGACAATGTACGAAGAGCGCGTGCGTTTTCTTATAATCGTCGTCTCCACCGACCTAATGCGGCCGGAACAGAAGGGTGACGAGCGAAAGTGCGGCGTAAGCTTTTGTGGGGGAAATTTTCCGGCGCCTACGTTTCGGTTACGGACAATTTACGTCCGGTATTAAAGTTTGCCGAGACGAGCGGAAAAGGAGGAAAGTTATAACGCGGCCGGTTTCTGGACGTTAACGCGGTAACCGACGTAAAGTAAACTCGGGTAACCACCACACGTATTTAAATAAAAAGCGGCTTTGGCCCGAAAGGTAAAGCGGTCGACTCGGCGACTCGCGGCTTTCGTTAAACACGAAGAATCCGCCGTTCCCCTTTTTAACGGCAATTTCCCCCGGTCCGATTTGCTTCGATCGGGCGTCTTTATCGGGCCAAACGGTCGCTCAAAAGACGGAATCGAAGTCGGCGGCGGCTGGCAACGGATCGGCCGCTCTCTGCAGATTTCCCTTCTCCTTCAACTTGGCCCGCAGCAACGTGTGGGCGGCCACCCCGATCCTGACGTCCGTCTGCGCCGTCTCGCTCTTCAGGCGGGCCAGGGCCTTCCGCACGTTCACCAGAGGAGCTGAAAGTACAAAAATGCTGCTTTTATTCTCTTCTTTCCTACCGCGCCCTCTCTCGGATTCCTTGCTAGGCCCACCCCGCCTACGATTTTCCCGCCTAAAAAAATACCGTTCGATAATTTCGAACTTTCTTTGGGCCTTTAATTAACGGCGCCGACGCCTTGAAGACCCGCTGTCCACCCAGGGAAGAAAAATTTTCTTGGTGAATTGGCTTCGGTACTTTTCGGACACGTACACTACGTCTATTTCCGAAAAACAAATTAAAATAACGCATTATTCGCGCCAAACTAACCGCTATTCCGCCGCATAAACTCCGTAGAAAAACGTATTTTACCCGCCGTGAGTAAAATATGACCGAGGAATGTCGTAACAACCGTGATTATTGCCGCGGCCGGCGTACGTCTGTAACGTATTCTTAAATTATACGCATTAACCGTTACGTGGTACTTTAAATTACGTCGTACGGTAAACCGGATAGTTCCGAATTCTCCTGGCACTGTACACCGTGAAATTCCGGCAGAAATATCAATTGAAGGCAAATGTTGTCGATGCTGTTTACCGTTTTCGGTCTGCCGATTGTAAATTCAAATTACCGAACTTCTTACGAGGTATAGAATTTGAATCCGGTCGAAATTTATGCCGTTTCTTGTATAAAACATTTTAAATTTACGTCATTTAAAAAATAGTCGACGAATTAATTAAATATAAAATAATAAACGCGTATAAGAAATATCCTACGATGAGTTGCTCGACTTTCCCGGCCAACGAAATTTAAAATTACGATATTTCGTTTAAAAATTTTTTTGCGTAATTATTATAAAATAATGCGAGTTTAATTTTGAAGCCGGAGACGACTTTTATATAAAAATGATGAATGCTAATAACCAGTAAAATCTTCGCTAAGTCTCTCCCCTCTATCTTTCCGTCCCTTCGACCTTTAACCATCAGAATTTAATAATGTCGATTCCCCAATACGCAAATCTCCCTGCAGAATTTCGGAAATTGACGACGTAACAATTGGGTTTGGCCGGTAACATATATACGAATTTATATTCGAATACACAATAGCAATTTTATCGTTATTTTTCACATGTATAGAAATTCGTAATAAAATACATAACGCGGTTATAATAAAATATTAATTTTAAGTAATTCAAAGTACATTAAAATATGAAAATAATCGCGCAACATGTATTTATATTTTAGAAAATACAAGGGAAGCGGCGCTTCCACAGCTTCCATGGACGGCACCCACTGCGAAATTCCGTTCTAATAACGTAGTCGATGGAATTTGTAGTTCATACAACACACAAAATCCTACAGACTTTGGTATAGACTTAACTTATAGAATGCATTTATACTTGGAGAGCTTTCACTCAATTTGTTATCTATTTAAACTATTATATTCGTACATTCATGTTTATATGTATTTATTTAATTTTATATTTAATTAATTCGTTTATTATTTTCTAACTGACGTAAATTTAAAATATTCTACTTGTAAAACGGCAATACTTTTTACCGGATTCAAATACTATACGTTCTAAGCAGTTCGTTATTTTGAATTTACAAATCGTAGCCCGAAGACGGCCTTTGAATAATGTCGAGAACGTTTGCTATTAAATGACATTACTGATGGAATTTTACAGTGGTGATATTTTACTTTAAATTATTTTAAATAATTATTTAATTAAAAATATATTTTAAAATTTCTAAATTAGTAAAAAATTTTCATCAAAGCGCGTACAGTGGTACCTCAGGATACGAAATTAATCCGTTCCGAAACTGAGATCGTATCATGAAAATGTCGTAAGGTGGATCATCTTTTCCCTTACGATTACATGTTAAACCAAATAATTCGTTCCAACGCGAAAAAACATACTCAAATTAAAGCCAAGTAATACATTAAAGAAAATAACTGTAGTAAGAAAAACAAATGAAAAATGCGAACTAATGTAACGTCGTATGGTGAGTTTTTGTTCGTATCGTGGAGCAAAAATATGTTCGAATTTCATGTCGTATCCTGAAAATTTCGTATGCTGGGGCGTTCGTAACCTGAGGTACCACTGTATATGGTAAACGGTGAGACTCCTTTGTTAATTTAGAAGCTCGATGATATCATCGCCCCAGTAACGGTTGTGTAGACAGACTCATTGACAGGTAGTTATACGGACCATTATTACATTGAAAACCAACTTTTTTATGCAATAAGTTTTTTTACTTTCCTGGCTTTGTTATATATAACAGAGGGGAAGTATGGCGATGGGTCAAAAATGACCCTACAAGATTATTACATTTTTGGAATCGGGGACCTTAAAAAATTCGGGAGTTTTTGTTTTTATTGGATGTTCGTCTGTTGTCTGTCAATCTCTCTGTGTGTGTATGTGGGGGCACAATTTTGTTCACCCTCTTCGAAGCTTAATAACTTCTGTTTTTTTTTGTCGAAAATTTCTGAAATTCTGAAGGGAGGTTTCTGTTTGAGGGGAGCGACGTTATTACATTTTGGTGGTTAAAAGTCGACAAGGTACGGGATAGAGAGAGGTAGTGTGTCGCATCTCGAGAATGGTCGGACTTTGGTATATATTTATATGCATTCATTTATTTTATATTTAATTAATTCGTTGACTATCTTCTATGACGATTTTACTCATCGTTAGCATTTACGATTTTTTTATAAACCCATCGCTAACCTCAAAATTAAGCTTTTTGCCATTTTATGATAATTACAAATATAAAGATGTTTTAAAATAAAATATAGTAACAGATGGCCCAAATATGCAATTTTGAAATGTTGTCGGAAAAGTTAAGCAACTCATTGCTGAATTTTTTACCAGTAGTATGCTTTATCTCTATCATATATCTTAGAGTCAGAGACCCAAAAATAAAGTTCCAAATAAAAGGATCCGTCTGTCTTGATTAATCCATCTCGAGTTCGTCTGGGTCAGCCACCTTTGATTATTTGCTCACTGTTTGCCATCGGTAATCCCTGTGATTATCGTTTACACCAGTCTATCAACTGTCAGTGTTTGCCAAGTTGCTTTCTCAAAATAATCTCAAGTAATTTTAAAACTATTGTTGGGTAGCGTCAGAATCTTAAAGTAATCTTCCCACAATAATTAGACATGAGTTAGTTTGTGCGCACAGACCACTACTTAGTACCTATGTATGTGCAATACAGTAATATGCTAATAGTTGCATGTAAGTTACTAAATCGAAATACAAAGATAATGGAAAATCCTCAAACAGCATCCAGGAATTAAATAACCCAAATCCTCAGGGTTAAGACCAACCTACGGAGATTTCTCCACTATGTGGTGTACCAACTTTTTAAATATGAGTAGACTGAAATTACAATATATTGCTGACTTGCTAATAATGTTTAAAAATGAAATATCTGCCGTACCCTAGCTATCAGTTTGAGAGAGGTGAAAAAATTTTGAAAGAATCTTCATACAAGAAATTTTGAAATGAAATAAAATACAAACTGTATAAAATTTAATGAAATAAAACGGACGTCCACTGAAGCACAACCCTCCCCTCGTCCACCTTATCATAACCCCCTTCTAGTATGAACATCATTAATAGACAGCCCCTTACCCATATATACACTTTGGATTTTAATAATTATTTTGCTTTCTAGAATACTTCAATTATCAAATTTTTTAACGATATAAAAATTAATTCATTCTTACTTCCATCAGTCATGCTAGATCCTCTTTCTTCCATTTCTTGTTTTATTTGCTCTAATTCTTCTGTTATCTATTTTTAAAAATATGATTTATTGATAAATATTTATAGTTATATAAAATATTTATTGTATTTTTATAAAATTGCATTTACTTTAATGAAATATGACGTGTAATTTATATATCATAATTTCTTGCTATAACCTGCAGAAAATTGTTAGAATGAAAAACTGCTGCCATATAGGCTTTCCCAAACTGAAGAAGTCCATGTTCAAAAAATGTATCATGCTTTACTTATTAACGGATTATGTGATATCATCTTCGGCATTCCATTTTTTCCTCCATTTTTTCACTTTTATTTCCATTAACTATTCGTTGTAAATGTAATTATAAAATATGCAAAGAAAAAAAACAGAACATTTGAGGAAGAACTGTAAACTGCATTAAGTGTCAAAAATACCAAATGGTACAGTAAGACGAATTTTTTGTTGTGTTGTGTTGTTTGACTTTGTTTCTGTTTTATTTATCAATTATCATTAACTATATATATACTTATAATCTATATATATAATCGAGACGGGTTGATAATAATAATAATAATAATAACTTACTACCACACTACATCCATTTAATTTCTACACTCTCAGACATTCATACATTAGTTTATGCTGGGGCAGTCACAGTAGTAACACATCATGGACTGAAAATACAATCACAGACAGACACACACACAAAACACAATTCTATCACAAGCCTGCCTGGCAGAGAAGAATAGAAACACAAATAAATGACATTAGACAGCAATTAGGCAGGCTGACACAATACACTAAAAACAACATAACACCCAAATTAAAGAAACAACTCAAAAACATTTTCAAGAAAATCAAAACACACACAAAACATGAACATCACAACACACACATTACAGAATACATCGATACACTAAAACAAAAACTCGCAGCCAAAGCACGTAGACTCAAACGATACAAAACATGTACACTACGAAAACAACAAAATAAATTATTCACAAACAATGAAAAACTTTTCTACAGACAAATCAGTACCAAAACAAACACTGATACACAGCACAGTGGCACACCAACAGAAGAAGAACTCACAACTTATTGGTCTTCTCTTTGGTCCAATGCTGTTACACACAATGCTGATGCAGGCTGGATCGAGGAGGAGAACAGAAACTTGCACAACATACCAACTATGCCCTGTGCTGAAATAAACATACACGACATTCGCTACGCTGTTAACAGAACACACAACTGGAAGACACCTGGTGTAGACAACATTCACAATTTCTGGTACAAAAAGTTTACATCACTGCACCAGGAACTAGCTAAACATCTAACACACATCATCATCAATCCACAAGACATGCCAAAATTTCTTACTCAGGGCATCACCTACATGAAACCTAAAAACAACAAAACCACAGACCCCACACAATACAGACCAATTACATGTCTTCCAACACTCTACAAATTATTGACATCCTGTATCACAAACAAAATATACAAACATGTTGAAGAACACGACATTCTTACAGAACAACAAAAAGGTTGCCGTAGAAATCACAGGGGATGCAAAGAACAGTTACTCATAGATTCAGTCATTCTACGGCAAGCACACAAACAACACAGAAACATACACATGGCATATATAGACTACAGAAAAGCATTCGACAGTGTTCCACACAGTTGGCTGCTACATATTCTACACATGTACAAAATACATCCATCACTCATTGCATTCTTCGAAAACACTATGCAGCACTGGAGAACAACACTACATCTCAGGGTTAGTAACACTTCCATACAAACAAACGAAATATTCATTAGGCGAGGAATTTTTCAAGGAGATTCCTTGAGTCCTCTCTGGTTCTGCCTAGCCCTGAATCCATTATCCAACATGTTAAACAACACGCATTATGGCTACAATATCAGACATGAAAAAACAACACAGTTTACACTCTCACATCTCATGTACATGGACGACATAAAACTTTATGCATCCACACAAAAACAACTTCATCAACTCCTACAAATCACACATTCATACACCAAGGACATACAAATGGAGTTTGGCTTAGACAAATGCAAAACACTTCACATAGAAAAAGGAATCCTGAAGAAAGAAGATTTTGCACTTGGAAATGGAGACGTTATTGAATCCATGGAAGAGGGCGAGTTCTACAAGTATTTAGGATTCCAACAGGCCAAACTAACAGAACATACACAAATAAAGCAAAGATTAATTAAAGAATACCAACGTAGGTTAAATGCCATTCTCAAAACACAGCTAAATGCAAAACACACAGTTAAAGCAATAAACACATATGTCATCCCAGTACTCACATATTCTTTTGGAGTTATACATTGGACTCACACAGATCTTGAGCAACTCCAAAGAAAAACAAGAACAACACTTACTAAACATAAACATCGTCATCCTAAATCCACTATAGAAAGATTAACCCTTCCACGTAAAGATGGCGGATGTGGCCTGATTGACATAATTAACCTTCACTACAAACAAATACAGCCACTGTGAGAGTTTTTCTACAGGAAACAAGAAATATCACAATTACATAAAGCAGTAACTCTAGCAGACTCAAATAACACACCATTAAACTTACACTCATAACCTACGGACATGACACAACATATAAAAAGCATAGACATCATGAAGAAATCGCGGGCTCAAAAGGCACTCCATGGCAGGCATCCCTATGACCTGGCCCAGGATTTTGTTGACAAAACTGCGTCAAACAGCTGGTTACATTGAGAATGCCTCTTTGGGGAGATAGAAAGATTCATGATTGCCATACAGGATCAGGTCACAAATACTAAGAACTATAGAAAACATATACTCAAAGATACAACACTCACAAATGACACATGCAGAAAATGTCACATCATGCCAGAAACTATACAACACATCACTTCTGGGTACAAGCTCTTGGCACCCAGAAGTGCCAAGAGCTTGCACCCAAGATTTACACAGACATAATCAAGTAGCAAATATAATACACCAAGAGCTTGCAAAGAAACACAACTTGGTAGACATTCATGAACCATACTACAAATACATTCCACAGACAGTATTGGAAAACAACATGCACAAAATGTACTACGACAATGCCATAATCACAGATAAAACAATTTACAACAATAGACCAGATATTACACTCATTGACAAACACAATAAAATCACATACATTATAGACATAGCCATTCCAGTCACAATGTACAAAACACATGCACTGAAAAAATTAGCAAGTACACAGAACTCGCCCAGGAAATAAGGCATCTTTGGAGGATGGATAGGGTGCTTATTGTACTGTACATGTTGTTCTCTCCTGTACAGGTGTGATATCACACACACTACACAAAAGCCTGGAAACATTACAAATGAACAGAAATACATACATAACACTACAGAAAGCCACTATATTGAATACATGCCATATTGTTAAGAAGTTCCTAAATACAGACACTGACACACTTATTTAATTTTAGTTTTATTTTGGTTGCTATGCCTTTACTCTGGTCCGGCATAGTACACAGCCACTGGTGTGAACCGAGTATAACCCTCCCATAATAATAATAATAAGCACTGAGCCCAAACAATTACGAGTTGAAAGTTAAAATTTGGTATACAGTTAGGGTACATCATGAGAATGCACACTAAAATGGGATTTTTCGAAATTCTCCCCCACGGGGGAGAGGGACAGGATTAAGACTTCAACAATGGAAGTGTTAAGAGAAAGCAGCATGTTCAACTCAATCCCATCTTGAAAATAATTATGTGCTATTTCAATATAATTTACATCTTGCATGTAGAGAGATGATTTTCAAGAAATGTAACATTCTATATTTTTTGAAAACTAAAGTCATATTTCTATTAGCAATACTTTCCTTGCAAATGAAGTTATTAGTCAAAATACAAAGTATGATTTTTGCATGAAAATATACAAAATATTGTGAATAAATAAGATGGTCATTTGAAATTTTTGTAAAAATTGCAAGGATCTGAAAATCAATATATTACACTGTATTTCATCATAATATATTTAAATACGTTAACAAAAATTTAACAACTGCAGGTATGCACCAGTTAATAACAGAAGTCCTGGAAGATTATAATGAAGCCAAAAACTCTGTAGTCACTGTAACGTGTGGTGGCAATAGTAATGTGCAATGCATTAATGCTATGGCAAAGCTGGCCATGTAAAAGTACATAAGCTATGACAAAAAATTTCATGGAATAAAGTATTATCAGAAAATATGTCAATTGATTGCTGGAGAAAAAATGTGGCCGTGTTACTGCCATTATCTTTACTTAAATTCGAAACAATTTGGTTAGTAGAGGTAATTAGGCACCATCTCCTATTAAATTTAATAAGAGATGGTGCCTAATACCTGCCTCCAGTGAAAAATCATTTAGAAATTAAGTTAAAATAATTGCAGAGAAGTAGCCCAATTTAATAAGGCAGTCATTTGACATCTTAGGAAATTAAAACTCAATAAAGTTTTATTTGGAAAAATGTCTGAATAGATGTTCTTTTGTTCAAATGAATTTTTATATCATCTGATGACAAGCTAGCAAAAGCTCAAAAAAATGTTTTTATGCAATTAAAACAAAGCAAGAACCTGTATAATTTAGTAGTGTTTTCTTCTTAAAGAGAGTGTTTATACATGTTTAATAGTTTCTGAAAAATTAAAATAATTTTTTGCGAAACTTACCTGCCCTAATATTCGAGATCTTTCTGTTACACCACCACTAACAGATCTGTATTGTTCTTTTGTTTGAGCAAGTTGATCTTGAGATGCTCTATATTCTAACAACATTTGTTCTAGTTGATTATTCAAATACTTTTCTCTGCTTCCAATTTTTTCTAATGTTCGAGTGATTTCCAAGTGAAGTTTGTCTAATTGATTTCTTGTTACAGATAGACTCTCACCAATGTCTTTGCGATGCTGATGCATTTGTTCAATATGACTTCGCCAATCCTAAAAAACAAAATCATTTTTCCTATGTAAAATATTTTTTTGATCTGAACTCATAAGAATATTATAATGCATGTAAAATAAATTACTAGTCATATTAAGTTACATCTAAAAGCACATCTGGCAATGAAACAGAATTAAAAAAAAAAAATTTAATAAATTAGTTTTGCAGAAAGAAGAGCTGGCAGTAAAGAGAAATAAGAAGACTGCAAAAAGTATCCCATTACATTTCATTGACTCATAAAGACCAAGATTTTATAAAGCTATAAAAGACTGATGAATAAGAGATAATGTCATAAAGAAATGCAATATTTTTATTATGCTGAGGAGTGAGAAGGAAAGAAAATAATGATGGAGAGAAAGAGTATGCAATGAGAAACAAGTTGTGTGTGAAGTTATGTGGGATCAACAAGAGGCCTGGAGACAAAAAGGAAAAAGCATTTTGAGGATTAAAGCCAGGAAAGCTGACAACAATGCTACTGGAGAATGCATTTATAGAAGAACACAGATGTGAAATTGTTGAAAGAGATAAGAGAAAAAGAGTATTAATGAAAGAAAAACTACGGGTTTGAAAAAAGTTTGAACAGTATAATAGTTTATTTCAAGCATGGAGAAGTGTTTTCACCAAATGTGAAAATGAGTGAGAAACCAAGAAATGAGAGGAGAAAAAGTTAAAAGCAAAAAAAAAATTTTCTGAACAGGTAGAATGACACAAACAACAAAAAGAGAAGAAAAATCAAGGTTGGTTAGAACAAAAGAGAGTAAGAGAAAAAATTTTTGGATTAAAAAAATAGTCTACAAGCTGACACAATATTGGAATTTGAAGTTTGTCTGTTCAGATGATTGAGTTCAGGAAGTTTAGCACAAATTTGACTTTTAGAACCAGTGGAATTCCTAAAAACTGGAATAAATTTTTGAAGGACTGTTTTTGTAGTTTTAACCACTGATGATGGAGTCAGGAGGCTCGAATGTACTCAAGACTAGATGTAAATATGTTGATTTTCTATGGATTCTCCATTAAATTAGTTTTTAACATATTTTTAAGTTATATTTAAGAAATGACTCAATGAGCATACTACTGACTGTTCAAAACATATCTGTGAGAAATAAATGAAAAATTCAGGATACACACATCAACAACAAAAAAATAATAATAATAATTATGTACTGAGGAAATCAAATTGAACTTTAATAGTGCAAAAATGTAACGATACTGGTGTTTACAATATTAAAAAGGAATTTTTCCCTTTGATCAAGCACTTTTTAAATTTGTGAGCTCTCAGCCAGTAGACACCTAACATTTTGGCTCTACATGTTTGAGGTTTTCTGGAATTCTAGATTCAAATTGTTTTCAGAGAGAACTGATTTTTGACTGCTTCATCACAAAATATTCAATTTAGGCTATTTTTGTTTACTTATTATAGTTGTGAGTTATCCTTTTTGTTATCTATATTAGCTTTTGTGTTACTTTGATTAAAATTGCCTACTTGTGTAAAGTGTCTTTGTATAAAATAAATGTCTTTTGTGTAGAACTGCAACATCATCATAGAAAAGAGAGAAATTCTTGTAGAACAATGATACAACTTAAAGGACTCTTTAGCACCTTGTAAGACCTCCACTTGCCTAAATTTATGTGGCAAACATTCAGGTATGGAAACATACATGCACCTTATCCTGCAATAGATTTGCCTAAAGATGTTGCAAACTCCAGATTTCTCATGCTTGTAGAGGACCGAAGCTGGTGTCTAATTTGGTTCCATGAATGCTGTATGGGCAATAAATCTGGAGATTGGGCAGGTAAAGGAAGTGTGGCAACATAACAGACATTCAATAAATCACCAAACGATTGCCAAAATATCTGGCTATAATATGGCTAATTAAATGAATGGTATAAATTAATTTGGACCTAGAGGTAGACGTTAGGTGCCATCTCTTAAGTAAATTAATAATTAGAATTAAATAAATAAATTATTAAATAAATTTAGAACCTTCTGGAAAAAAGAACTGGCCCGGGACGGGGCTTGAACTTGCAACCTCCACTTACCGTGCAGTGTGCTTGCCAGTTATGCCACCTGGACCCCGAGCAAGTCCCCTCTTCCAGAAGTATATTACATTAGATATAACCTTACTTGGTTAAATATGGCACTGACTGGGGACGACTCTATCGCCCACGGCCTAAGACCATCTCCACAACGGCACTCAGCCAGCTATCGCATTACTCAGCAAGGTATATATATATATATATAAATGACAACATCTTGAAGCCCGAGTAATATACAATAAATCACCAAAAGATCGCCTAAATATCAGGCTATAATATGGCTAATTAAATGATTGGTATAAATTAATTTGGCACTAGAGGTAGACGTTAGGCGCCATCTCTTAAGTAAATTAATAATTAGAATTAAATAAATAAATTATTTCAGAAATTATTTTTTTTTCCAGAAGGTTCTAAATTTATTTAATAATTTATTTATTTAATTCTAATTATTAATTTACTTAAGAGATGGCGCCTAACGTCTACCTCTAGTGCCAAATTAATTTATACCAATAATTTAATTAACGATATTATAGCCCGATATTTAGGCGATCGTTTGGTGATTTATTGTATATTACTCAGGCTTCAAGATGTTGTCATTTATAACAGACATTCCAGAAAAATCCTTGTTATGTGCAACCAAGCATTATCTTGCTGGAAAATGGCTGCTTGCAGGTCTACCATGAAAGATAACAGACGAGAGCACAGGATTCTTAAACATAGTACTAAGCTATCAATATACATGTAACTCATATCACTACTAGGGACAACTGACATGCAATATGAGATGGCTCACTAGACCAGCATGTCAGCAGAAGGGTGTGTGCACTGTTCAACAGTAAAGACAAAATTCAGCAATCTGTAAAATAACTGTGAGAATCTGGATTTCAAGTTAAACAACATAACTAAATAACAATATAACTTCTCAATAATAATTTTGTCAGCCAGGATATCTGTCAACTTTCACACCTCGGAGTATCTCTTCCTTTAAGTTCTCAGCAGTGAAAAAGATGCATCTTCAGGCCTCATTAATGTTCCAAAATTGGAATGTAATAAAGAACAATGGCGTATTCTGGTTTATGATGTGTAATTATCATTTAAATCAATCAATTTGGTGTAGAAGTTGAACTTTGTTTAATTTAAAAATAACTTATTTGCTTGAATTTCAATGAACATTGTAATTTTAAAATTAAAAGAATACCAACTAATTACAATACTTAATATTGTAATTTGGCTGTTTCATTATTTACATTTATTAGAGCAATTATAGGTAAGCATTATTTTGTAAAACTACAAGTTATAAATGGAAAATCTCCAATTCTACTAACTTCTGGTTTCCAATGCACATGTCAATGTCTTAACTAATCATTTGGCATTGTCACAGGATACAAAGTGCCGTCTATAACAGAAAGTAATTTTTGGAGTCAGGGTGAAATTTGTCGGCAAAGTATACCTGTTACCAACCACAATGATAACATTGACGTCATGAGCATTGTGGTTAATGTTAAAGTTGAAAAACACATCTCTGGTCTTGGTGAAACTTGTGCTTTCCCATATGGACTCTCATGACTTTGGGAAAGCCAGAATCATTGTGCTTTATTTAATACAAAGCACACTAATAAAATAATATAATTATTATTGAATTCACACAACTAAGACATGCTTTGCAATACATAGTAACTGATATCTTGCACTAACCAAACTTGTTAACATTGAAATGCCTATCATTGTCCACTTGACTACAAATCTACTTTGCATTAATGCATATTTTGCATAAACCAATAACACTATAACAAGGTTTGACAGTATCAAATAGCCAAAAATCCTGGCAGTTACCAAAAATATATAATGCAGAGCAATATTATTTTTAATGTAAAAAAAATTGTCGACATATTAAACGGTATATAAAATAACTTAGATTCTAAATGAAAAAATTAAATTATTTTTAAAAACCTTTCAATTATCAATTGATTATATACAATAAATTTGAGCTGAACAAATTTGACCACGTAAACACTAATTTTTAAGTATCTTAAAAAATTATAATTAGAATTTAGATATTAGAGAAAACAATCACTAAAACAAATGCATGTATGTATTGATTATATAAAAAAAATATAAATTAATAAAAATTCATACCTTTGCATCAGGTCGTAAAGTCACTTTTAACTGAGGAAGAACTTTTTCTACCTCTAGTTTCCATTCTGCAGAGTCTGTTGTCGATTCCATAATGTCATCAGGTTTATTTATTTCTGCAGCATTCTAATAAAAAAAAATGTTATATAATAAATTAATACAAGGTTTGCAACATTTTACACAATTTTATCTTTCTTTTCAAATAATTATCTAACAAAGAAAATTATAAAACCCAAAAATTCCAAACCAAATCAACAATATAACATTCTATGCACAGTAAACTGGAACTTTGTACAATAAGTTTCACAACACCTTTCTTTCTTTATTCTAGCAATTTATTTAATGTAACTAATGTTTTTGGCTATTTTAAATGGCCTTCTTCAGGTTAGATGAAAATAGAACATCAGTTATAATTTAAATCAGAACATAAATTTAAAACATCATGATCTTGTGACATCATGGTTCTACAAAAGACTTGAACAGAATAAATAAATAAATAAATACAGAAATACACAAAAATAAAATTATATGTTAAAATTAATGAGCTTAGTGCAAAATAAAAAACAATAAACATCACTTAAAACATAAAATTTATAAAGACATGTTTATAAATTCATAAAGTCACATGAGTAAATTAACCCACTTTCTTTAGGAGATCGTCTAGGAGTGATTGCCAAGCTGTGGATAGAGTCGGCATCCTTTCTATTAATGCAATTCTCTTTAAGGGATTTTGCGAAGATTGTTAATTTTAGCTTATAATTTTATTTTTGTTTATTTCTGTATTTATTTATTTATTCTATTCAAATCGTCTATAAAACCATGACATCACAAGATCTTGTTGTTTTAAATTTATGTTCCAATTTAAATTATAACAGACATTCTATTTTCATCTAACCGGAAGGAGGCCATTTAAAATATCCAAAAATATTAGTTATATTAAAGAAATTGCTAGAAAAAAGAAAGATGTTGTGAAATTTAAAATAAAACATTATTCCATTTTTATGTACTATGCTTATATTAAAACATTTCCTAAGGGAGGCTACTACTTTGTAGGTAAAAGAATGCTGGACTAAAATATTACAAACTGAACTATGTCTAAGAGAAAAAATAATAAATTTCTAAATAAATAAAACTTTAAAGCATCAAATTTATTTTCAATTAATATAATACCTTATGATGTAATATTTCCAAAGAATCATAAACTTGGCAAGATGCTAGTTGTAATGGAAATTGTTTTGCATTTGTGACATTTATATACTAAAAATATCAGCAAACCAAAATATATTTGTTATAGTGAAATTTCAAATTTTAATTTAATTAAATTTTTTTCACTAATAATACAAAAAACAGTTTTACCAAACTTATATATGCAGTAAACTTTAATGTGGAAACCTGATAGTACTCGCAGAAGTAACAGGTTAACATCATACATATTTAATTTAAAACCATATTATATATGGTCCATTTAACAGTCGCATGCAGATGACACAGGTCACCTTGTGACCCCAGTCACATTTTTGTTTATATTATAGACAAATATTAATTTTGGAATTTGAATTGTTTTACTTTTATCCCCTATCATTTGTGAATAATTTGGAGTATATTTGACAAAAATTCAGTAATTATAGTGGTTCCTATAAAAAAATATCTGATGTTGCATGATAGATTATTGCTCCCATGTGGATATTATATTATTTTGATTTGAGAAATTGTAATCCTGACTATAGTAGTAACTATAAAGTATATATAAACATCGCTAAACCCGATGTAATATAGCTAATCACCAAACATATGCCGTAAATCCATCGGGCTAGTGTTAAGGCTAATTACTAAATAAATTACGTAATTAATTTGGCACTAGAGGTAAGCGTTAGGCGCCATCTCTTATTAATATTAATAATTATAAATAAATTAATTAATTTAAATAATTTAGAACCGCTGGGAGAAAAAAAATTAGTGCCAAATTAATTACGTAATTTATTTAGTAATTAGCCTTAAAACTAGCCCGATGGATTTACGGCATATGTTTGGTGATTAGCTATATTACATCGGGTTTAGCGATGTTTANTATACAGTGGTACCTCAGGATACGAAATTAATCCATTCCGACACTCAGATCGTATCATGAAAATGTCGTAAGGTGAATCATTTTTCTCCATACGATTACATGTAAAACCAAATAATTCGTTCCAACATGAAAAACACACTCAAATTAAAGCTAAAGTAATACATTAAAAAATAATAATAATAACTATAGTAAGGAAAATACTAAAAAATGCATTTTGTAGTTGTAAATGTATAAATAACCGTAATAGAATAATAATTGATAAAAAAAAAATGTAGTTTTATTTGCACTTTACCTTTGAGGATAGATGACGGTGAAGGTGTAAATTGGTGACGGAAGAGAGGGAGAAGGGAAATGATACTAAAACTTAACTTACATAACATAATGTAACAATAATTTAAAAATAACTTAGAAAAGATTTTAAAAAATTAGTGTTGTTTTATTTTTTAACTATTTTTTTAATTTTTATTCACTGCTTTTTGGTTTCTTTCCTTCACTTCCACCAGCACTTTCACTGGATAGAGGTCGCTTGGTAAAATATCTATCCAAAGAAGTTCGGCTTTGCCTACTTTTTAATGTTTCTAAAATGACTTAGGCAAATGTCATTACTCCGAGCAGCAATACGGCCAGTGTGAACTTTTTCGGGATGTTTCTTTTCAATAAAATCAGTCACTTTCTGATAATACCTCAAGATTTCCTTTATCGAGCAAGATCCTTCCACGACGAAGCAAACGCGCCGACTGAGACCAACGAACAGAAGTGAATAAAAAATGGCGCTGCGAACTAATGTAACGTCATATGGTGAGTTTTTGTTCGTATCGTGGAGCAAAAATAAGTTCGAATTTCATGTCGTATCCTGAAAATTTCATATGCTGGGGCGTTCGTATCCTGAGGTACTACTGTATAGTAGAAGCTGTTTTTCCGGATAAGCTTTAATGCACTCCATCTCCCCCGCGTGAGAATTTCGAAAAATCCCTTCTTAGTGCGCGTTTTCATGACATACCCTAACTGTGTACCAAATTTCACCTCTTTAGGTTCAGCAGTTTGCTCTGGGCAATGATGAATCAGTCATTCAGTCAGTCAGTCAGCCAGGACAAGTAATTTTATATATTTAGATTGTCTGAGATTGATCCTTAATAAAGAATTAGGTATACTACAAAAAATATATAGATTATCCTTTTGAAGTAAAAAGGATTAAAAAGTAAAAGTAAGTAAAAAGCTAATGTCAGTTTTTCACTTACAATTAAATTAAGTTTTGATATATTTCTGTATTGAGTTTACAATGAAAAATATCATTATGATTGCTTAAAGAAATTAAGTAGATGTAGCTGTAATTTTTAACACATGGTAATATATATATATTAGTATATGTAAACTGTTATAAATTATTACTTCTTTTTAATTCAGGTTTTAGAACATTCCAATACACTATTGCTCTATAGTATGTTGATCTTTGTCCTATTGATAAAATACTTTTACATAATATGTGCATTTGTTGTCTATATTTTAGTCTACATAATTCAGAATATACATCATTGTTGTTCCTCATCATACATTGTTTATAGAATTTGATCTATAATATTTTTTGTGGTTGACTACACCTATAACACTATACTTATGGAACTCAAAATCATGTATAAAGACAGTGTTTGTGGCACCTGTGCCATAAAATTTTCATGGCATAGCAACAGTATGTATCAATGGTATTGGTACTGGTACATGGTATCGGCAAATGGTATCAATTATAAAAATTTTATGGCACAGTTAACACAAACGCTATGTTTATACACAATTTTGATTTCCTTAAATATAGTGTTATAGATGTAGTCTAACAACATATGACAATTCGTTTATAATTAGCAATTATGACATTCATGGAAATTGACTCACTCACTCTGCTCGTGTGCCAAACTTCCATTCATGCCATAATCGCCTGTATTATAAACTAATTGCATAATATACTATTATATGTAACAATGTAGCTAAATGTAGCAAAGACATTGTATTTATATTTTTTTATAATTGATAATTACACACTTTGAAAACATTAAATCTCAGTAAAAACTTTAATAAACAAATATTTTCAATCTACTACTAAGATCATCATCAGATCCTTTTAACATTCCAATTTTGGAATGTGATGAACAACAATGACATATTACAAAAAAAGAGAGCAAAAATCCAAAACTTATATATATTCTATATAAAATTATTGCAATACACTTACAATTTAAAATGATCAATTTAAATTGTAAGTACTCAATGAAGAATAAACACAGTTGAAAACAAAAAGTCGCATCTAAAATAGTAAAGTGGTACCTCAGGATACAAAATTAATCCGTTCCGACACTCAGATCGTATCATGAAAATGTCGTAAGGTGAATCATTTTTCTCCATACGATTACATGTAAAACCAAATAATTCGTTCCAACATGAAAAACACACTCAAATTAAAGCTAAAGTAATACATTAAAAAATAATAATAATAACTATAGTNTATATATATATTTTTAACTATTTAAAAGCTTTCAAAAATCCTCATATATATTAATAATTATATGTGGAAATCAAAAGTTCTTTGCAGTCTTTTCATTCTAAAATACTACGATATGTTAATTTTATTAATTAATTAAATTAATGTACTTGCATCCAATTTTCCGTACATGACTTCCTATGTTACTACATTAAAAATATTAGCATATACTCAGTATTTTTGGAGTGAAAAGGTTGCAACAAACTTTTGACTCAGCCTATATTTATACACATACAAACACAGACACACACACATACTACTCACAGTTCTAGATAGAGGAAGATTTCGCAGTCCTTCTAAATCTAATATTCCTCCTTCTTCATCATCGTCGTCATCATCATCATCATCTTCCTAAAAAAGTTATAAATATATAATATACTTTTGATTAAAATGGCTTATGATATTTTACACATTAAAAATACTTTGAAGAAACTAAATTAATTTTTCTATCTCTCATTTATCATCAGGAGCAAACAGCTTTCCTTTACAGAGTTGATCTTTTATTAGAGGCTACACCTCTGTGAAACTATGCAAAACGATTTCAGTGGTGCATCATACTTTGAACTTAATTCATTCCAGGAAGCTGTTTGAAGTCTGAATCAATATTTTCCTTTAGAAATAAAGGAAAGTGAGTTAATTCATTCCTAGACGATGTCAATGCCCATTTCAATAAAATTAAAACATATTTGCATAATTTATAGTGAAAATAACAATTAAATGCCCTAATAATAAATTAAAACACAAAAACAATAAATAACGCATGCAAATACTGTATAATAAAACAAAAATTGCATTTACTAATTACATGCCATTGACTTTGACATCTTAAAAATAGCTGCTAGATCTTCAACTTGCTTATTGCTTTTACGCTTTGCCATAACTTTCTTTTTAGCTCCAATCATTGATATTACAGCTTTCCTCTTGCACTTCGTTGCCTACACCCACTTCTCAGATGCCATAATTAATTAATAAGTAAAGGTTACATTGAGTTGAACAGAAAGATTTTGCTGTTTTTGACAGCCATCATTTCTTAACAGTTGTGAAATTTAACACATTATTGCTAAGATGAGGTTATATTCTTCATTTAAAAGCTTATTTTAAATTTTTTACTTCACATGTTGTTTAAATAAAATCAAGTCAAAATGTCATCAGATAAGAAGTAAATCAGACATATTATGCTTTATGAGTTTTGGAAAGAATATAATGCCATACAAACAGTACAAATAAAATTCATAATGTGTATGGGGAAGGTGTTCCTACATTTAAAACATGTCAAATGTGGTTTAAAAAGTTCCATTCAGGAATTTTTGAACTAAAGGATACAAAACATATGAAGCACCCAAAAGCTGTTAATGAAGAAAAACTGCAGGAAAAAATTACTGAAAACTGATAAATAACACACAATATATATATATATATATATATATAATAATTAATCATACCAAAACTAAAGTTAAAAAAATGGAAAACATACGAGCATAACCCGAAAGCAACAGATGACTCATATGCACAATAGATTGCACTTACACTTTGAGCATGTTTTTTCACTGCCTACACAATTTGAACTTTGAAGCTTCTTTCAAACTTCAAGGCAAATTTTTGTCAAATTTAACATTTGAAGTTATAATCATTCGAAGTACACGGTACCACTATATTTAATTGATAATATACTTACATATATTTCCAATTAAATAAATTTTTAATTTGTAAAATAAACAGAAATTATTAAAAAATTGGAATTTAGATATTTCCTACTTAAATATTAGATAAGGAAACACACCTTTTGCACACCTTTTAATTTCCAGCAATAGTTTAATGTCATAAAAACATTTTCGACCTATTCACAAGGCTTCATTGGTTAGGACTAACAAATTGAATACATAAATAGCATTTTGAGATTAAAATCAAACAAAATACAAATTTACAGATTTAAAAGTTCTAAACTTAGAAATATAATATACAATTTAAATTAAGAAAATAAAACTTGATAATTAAAATTTTAAAATACACAAATCATCAATAAATAAAGGTGTGTTTCCTTATCTAACTGTATTAAATTCAGTTTGCTTTGAGAATATTTTAATCACATAAGTATTAATATTAAATATCAGAATTCTGTGCAGAAAATCAGAAGATTATCTGTGTTTAAAAATTAATTGTACTGGTGGTGCAATAGCAACGTATCCCAATTCCTGCACATAATTCAGACTTCAGATTACTATTAGTAATAAATAGTAGTAGTGTAATATTGTGTTTTCTTTTACCTATTGTTGCTGATTTTTTCAAAAAATGTCGTCATCCCATGTGTGGGTTGTCTAAAATTTTCAATTCTTAATTTGTCGAAATAGACTAAAGGTTGGGCACCGCAGCTTTATAGTGTGTATCAGTCTATCTAAAGTAGACCACCTTTTGGTTTTTAACAGCCTAGTAAATCTCAAGCACTTATAAATATTTCAAATATGTGTGGGATCTGACATCTAATGTAACATATGCACTTTATCAAAATAAACCTGCGCATTGAGTATGTTGCAAGTACCATGGACTGTTTCTTACTGATGTTGTGTACATGCTTCTTTACTCTTACAATGAGATTCCTGATAGTCACTCCAATGCATACTAAAGAGCAGTCCACTCTAGTGCCATGTAACAGAATAGCATACAGTCGACCCCCCTATAAGATAGAGATACGTTCCATTCTCTAGGAATCCGATTTCTTACGAATCCTTCCAATCACAACCCGACACGTGTCAAGTTTACGGACTACAGCTGTTTGAAAGATTTTCTTGCATAAAATTAATCGATTCTAGACTAATCCAACTCAACATTTCCAAAATACGTATATATTTTTTGGGAATAATCCGTATAAACTACGCTATAAACAAAAAATTGTAGGATTACTTACCGAGTGTCACCATTCGACATCGCCATTGCTCAACATTGTTTTCGTCGCGGAACAGCTCAGCAAAGAGCGGCCGATTTCTAACAACTTATTTTTCTGTGAAAACTTCGTAGAACTTCGGAGACATCATTAATATAAATAATTTTAATCGCCGTTGAATAAGAAATGTTTCTTTCACAAGAAATGTATAAAATTACAGTACTGTATTAGACTTACGGTACCTAATTTACATACTGACAGACGATAGTTAGCGTAAAAATCTCCGTAGCGTGGCGCCACGCTAGACGGCGGAAATTATATATTTAATTATAACAAAGTTACAATAAGTTAATATATAATTATATATACAGTACCTAATTTATATATAATTAATATATAATTATATGTACAGTACCTAATTTATATATAATTTATATAATATTGTCCAGACGATAGAAATCTCTCCGTAGTTGGCGCTACGGACGGCGGGAAAGTAGTTTGGCTGCCCGATGACGTTTGATGTGTTTATAGGGAACTTTTACTATTTTTTACGGATACCGGTAGCAATTTTTTCGTAGTTTTATAGGAATCGTAATTATAGGGGGGTCGACTGTATACACCTGGTGTATAGTACTCATCTACTGAATCTTTATCATTTCTAATAAATGCAAAGATAGTTGAACTCCTCCTATAGACAATTCTGTTGTTAGCCACTCTGGCAATTTCTTTATAAATGTTTGACATCATCATCTTGTTGATAAGCATGGTCCATGTTTCCTGTATAGTGGTGTACTAATCCATTAAATGAAAGTATTAGAGTAACTGTGTTATATTGTAACAGATGTGATGAACCTTAGTTCCTTGTCCCTGTCATATACTATAGATCTGTGTAAAATTCTAATGAGTGAACAAAAGGCAGCAATCTTGTATTTGAAAGGGTTATGGGATAAGTATGAAATGTAGAGAGGACAATAAGCTTCCTTTCAATAAACTCTAGTAAATGTTAATTAACATGGAGCAATACAGACTATCTAAATTTGCATCTGAAGAGGATCTAAATTATTCTCTATCACCTTTTTGGCTAGTTTTGATACAAACTAGCCATAAACTATATACAAATACCCTTGTAAAACATAGTAATTACATTCCAAAAAAGTATTGTGTTATTCAGAAAGTAATTTAGTTTTTTCCGTGGAAAAAAACACAATATTTTTATAATAAATAAATATTTTATTGAATTATATATCAACCATTTTGGCCAAATACCTGTTGTCATCGTTTCTGGTAGTAGCATGATTTCACATTCATAAAAGTTTTGATCGTTGCTTACAAAAAACTGATCCAAGTGATTTTTGACATTGTCATTTCAAGNGTTCCTTGTCCCTGTCATATACTATAGATCTGTGTAAAATTCTAATGAGTGAACAAAAGGCAGCAATCTTGTATTTGAAAGGGTTATGGGATAAGTATGAAATGTAGAGAGGACAATAAGCTTCCTTTCAATAAACTCTAGTAAATGTTAATTAACATGGAGCAATACAGACTATCTAAATTTGCATCTGAAGAGGATCTAAATTATTCTCTATCACCTTTTTGGCTAGTTTTGATACAAACTAGCCATAAACTATATACAAATACCCTTGTAAAACATAGTAATTACATTCCAAAAAAGTATTGTGTTATTCAGAAAGTAATTTAGTTTTTTCCGTGGAAAAAAACACAATATTTTTATAATAAATAAATATTTTATTGAATTATATATCAACCATTTTGGCCAAATACCTGTTGTCATCGTTTCTGGTAGTAGCATGATTTCACATTCATAAAAGTTTTGATTGTTGCTTACAAAAAACTGATCCAAGTGATTTTTGACATTGTCATTTCAAGTGTCTTACAGTTAAAAAAAATTTGTATAGACCGGAACAAGTAATAATCCAAGTGTGCTCGATCTGGCAAATATGGTTGGTGTAATAGCACATCCCATCTAAGTTATAACAGTTTCTGACAAGTTACCAAACTTGTGCGAAATTTGACATTATCGTGGTAAAACACTACACCTGTTTTGTTGTACTGGCCGCCTTTTCTGTTTGATGATATTACTCAATTTGTTTACTCAATGGCAGTACACTTTTGAATCAGTTGTTAAATTGTCTGGTAAAAGCTCCAAAAAAAAAAAAATTCCCTTAAAATCCCACCAAAGAGAGCATCTCTCTTTAAGAACATGTGGAACCCATATATCAAGCTTTGAAATGAAATCAATTTCTTTCAAGTAATCATAAACAGTTAAATTTGACAAATTTAATCTTTTAGTGATTTCACGTGTTGTTATTCGGCAGTTTGCTTCAATCGGTACCTTTATTTTGTTTTCATTGACTTCAACTGACCATCCAGAACGTGGTGCATCTTCAATATTGAAATTGCCAGAACGAAATTTTGTAAACAAGTTTTGGTACTGTCATTTTGTCAATACATCTTCTCCATAGAAGTCACATAATTTTTTTCTCATTTGAACAGCATTCTTACCTTTTTGGTAATAAAAGAGCAAAATATGCTGAAAATGCTGCTTTTGATCTTCCATATTTAATGGGACACAAAAAATAAACAATTGCACAAAATCAAACAAAATTTTTTACAAATAAGCCTTAAAATGCTAGCTGTCAAAATATATAATGATAATATGGTTTAGAATGAAAATGGCGAGAAAAATATGACTAATCCATTTAGTAGTAAAAAAAAACGAAATTACTTTCCGAACAACCCAATATATAAATATAGATTAGTATGATAATTAAGATAAATATATTACTTTAAAAAGAATCATTGATTATATGAGAAGTATTAGAATAAAAAGCTTGAAGTTTAACAACACTTAATAACGACAATATTGTTATAATTGTACCGTAGATTTAACAGTCCTGTACCTTTGCCACTCAGCCTTGCCTGAACATTGCACCTTTACGAATCTCTCTTCAGCATCATCATCTACAGAGCAAGAGCTTTAATTTGATACCTGAACCATGACTGTGCCCTTAGCCATTTACTCAAAATAAGTAAGAAAAGCTAAAAATACTCTTTCAATTGATATATAAATTTTAAGTTTCTATTTCTTCCACATTTGGTGTTACACTTATTTTTTTCTCTTGTATGAATTTTTAGTGTAATCCCCTTAAAAACAAGAACTTATTACAATTAACTATTCTCCATCAATAAAATTCACTACAATACATTATATAATCATTTAGCATCTGAACCAGATCATACTATTAGCATTTCTTCTTCAATCTTTTCTAATGTAACTTCAGCACTATCATCTATTAAGTTTTCTTCTTCCAGATCTTCAACTGGATGACTAGCTCTAAAATATAGGGGGGAAAATTTTTTATTTAAATCTACACTTAAAATATTAACTAAAATTTTTATATTTTTATTTTCATAAAAATAAATATCAAATTATTACTTACTTATTCCATCCAAAGTGAACAGCTTTTAATGCTTGATCAGCTAAACAATTCAGAACATAGATGACTTCAGTTCCAAATCCTGATTTCAATCTGCTGGGAGGAAAATCAACTGCTGCACCCTATTAATATAATATAAATATCATCAATACAGTATTACTATGTTTAATAGCTTAGTAGTTACACATTATTTGGCACAGGTAATTATAATATCTTTTTTATTATTTAATTTTAATATACTTCATATATTTATAAAAATTTTGAGGAAATCCAACAGTAAGTATTTTTGAAATGCTCATAAAAGGTAAAATAGTTATACTTTTAAGACTCCTTTTAAAATTTCTTCAAAATTTTTCTTTCTATAAATCAATTACACAGATTCAAAATGCTGGGAAATACATCTTAAGAATAAACAATCACATGCTTTAAGTTTCTTGTTTTAGGTGCTTTTGGATGCCTTAAAATTTGACCCTCTCTATGCTTCTAACCCTCTGCCCCTGCTGGAAATCTTCATACTGGACATTGAATTAATCACTAAAGGTATGAATGACACAAGTCAGGATTTTTTTTTTTGTTGAAAAACTGCTTCCCAGTCAAGACACGAAGAAAGCAATAATTTCAGCATGTAACGATTTCAGATCATTATACGCAAATCACGCCAGTGGTTCGAACAAAATAACATGGTTCTGATGAAAGCAAATAAGTCAAAGGGAGTAGTGTTACTCAAACAATCAACGTACAATGAGAAATTAAGAGAATATATTACAACCACAGAATGCCAGCCAGCAACCATCAACTTTTTAGTATCATTACAGCAAAGGGTTAAAAGATTCACATCCACTCCCTTGGCACAAGTTTTATATATGCATGGCTCCACAATCCATGCACCAAAAACACTAAGAATTTTTCATTTGCCAAGACTCTTAAGCCAGGAAATGAACTATATCTGGTAATCAAGAAATGTTATTCTCCAACATTTTTGATTGAGAAGCAGCTGGTCAAATTTTACCATGCAAAACTACTTATTATTCGTTTTCAATTAAATTAACTCTGGTCAAATAAAAATGTTTTGAACAAATTCTAATATATTTGGACTCAGGGGACCTTCAAACATTTGGAAATGCAAAAACATTTAGGAGTATTTTCTGTATGTATAAATGTCAACATGTGTCTGTGGGGGGGCACGATTTTGTTTACCCATTTTGAAGCTTAATAACAACTCCTGTGCTTTTGAAATTTTCTGAAGTTTTGCAGGAAGATTTGTGTATTAGAAAGATTCATGATACAGTAGAACCTCGAAAACTCGGCCTAATGTGGACCGAAGGGTGGCCGAGTTTGTGAAAATGCCGGGTTATCGGGAATGGGGTTAAAAAAATAAGTATGAGTGTTTCCTCAGAAAATACTGTACTGTACTTGTATGTATTGTTTACTTGAGAATATAACAGAGAATAAACTGCCCAAATACCCTTAAACAAAGGAAAAGTACGTCCTTTATGAAGGCATAGAGCCTTTACTACATGAAAATGAAAATTAATGAATACACTGTGTACAGTAATTTACCTGATAAGACAGACCTCAGAAAAATACTTTATGAGAGCTTTTATACTTTTATAAAGCTGTCTATAATGAAAATTAATTAACTAAGGATTTTTTTGCCGAGTTATCCGGAGAGCCAGGTTATCGAGAGCTGAGTTTTCGAGGTTCTACTGTATTAAATATTGGTGATTTTAGATTGACGAAGTGGGGACATAAAAAGTAGTTGTGTGTCATATCTCGAATAGGATCAAACTTAATAATAATTTTACTTGTTATTCTCACTTACAATTTTTCATAAAACCCATCCCTACTCTCAAAATTAAACTTTTTGCCATTTTATAATAATTAAAAATGTAAACAGTTTTTTTTTAAAATGAAATATTGCACCACACATACAGTTTTAAATATTTCCAGGAAAGTTAAGAGATTCATTGCTGGATTTTTTTACATTTAAATGGACCCACTTTACATTTCTGGATTTCTTGTCTCAATTAATGGAAAATGGCAAAGTTTAATCAAAATCAATCCTTTAAATTTTGAAGGCAAACTCAATTTCATAAGTCCATACAAGACATGCTAGTGACCGTGAAACATTCTAAAACATCGAAACAAAGTTATCCGTGTGATATCACTTTGTCATGCATGCTCATGAAACAACCTTATATCTCAAAAACAAAGTCATGGACATTTTTTATTACAGTTTTGGATTCCACAATCACAATTAATGGAAAATAGCAAAGTTTAATCAAAATCCATCAAACAGATTTTGAGAATGAACACAATTTTGTAAGCCTCGTAGCAGCTTTGCTAATGCTCCACTTCAATGATTCTCTTATTTTAATATTTTAAATATTTTTATTTGTTGTCTTTTTTGTAAAGCTATTCCTTTTTACTGTCATGTTGTAAAGCTATTCCTTTTTACTGTCATATTTATGACTGAATAGTAATTAATCATTTTTTTACTAATATATGCTTTCATATAATGTTTATATTCTATTTTATTATATTTTTGTTGTATTGTCATATCTAAAATATTAATGCTTAATACTGAGTACCAAAAATAAAATGAGGTTAAATGAAGAAATAAAAGTCAACATCATCTGGTGAGAATATCTAATAATTGATAATACAACGGATAAGTGCTTTCCAAGTGAACAAAGATACCAATTATGAAGATTAATTTGCCAACAACAAGGACATTTAGTGGTTTTAAAGTGAGGTTTTTAATTATATTAAAATTCAGTATGCCAGAGAAAATGAACAGGAATGTTCTAATATTTGAAGGAACATTCAAAATGCATTTTTCTTTAATTGGATGGTTTTACCATTGATTACATGGATAATTTTAACTATGAAAAATTTTGTTTTTTTTTAAATAGAAGATTCCCACATCATTGAAAGATTTTTAAGAAATAAACTGAAATATAATTGAGAATGTATCTTTAATTATCATCTATTATTGTTTGCTTTCTGTTCAATTGACCATGTAATTGACCATGAAATTTAGTGTTATAGGGTACATTCTTACTAATCTGACCTAGGAAGTACTTGGGTTTTTTCTGCATTTCATCATGACTTTTTTACATGGGAGCTCTTCTGGGTTTGGCATATTAAAACATTGAAGCATTAGAAGTCCACCAGTTTAAAATTTTTCACTTTAAGCAGGTCTTAGAAGTAGACCGAAAACATTCATGGGTCTGAAAAAGCAGCTGAGTGAATATCAAGGTAGTGAGTTTTTACATTAGAATAATAAATTACAGAATGAATAAACAAATGTTGCCTAGAAGGGCAGAGAAAAGACAAAATAGGAATAAATGTAAACAAACAAAAGATTCAGTAAAAGCAGAAATACATGAATAATTGTCCTCACAAGTTATGAGGTGTTGATTCAAACCACTCTCTCCATGCAAAAGATAGCCTTTTGTGATCGTCATAGTTAATGGAGTGGCCTTGATGTACTGATTTACATATTTTCAGGGCTTTTGCATGTTGAATAAGTTGTTCTTGATGGTCTTTATAATCTTGATCCATTCCTACTGCATGTTAGCTAACCCTCTGTTACATATAACAGAGCCAGGAAAGTAAAGAGGAAAAAGGAGAATGACTAAAGGAAACTAAAGATGGAGAAGAACTAATGATGAGCCATATATATATTTTGATGGTTTCCAGAAAGTTGCAATGGCAGATGAATATGTGCAATGCATACAGAATACTTCTCATTTTTAAAAATGCTTTTGATAAGTTTAGACAAAGTTGCCAGATTAGTTTGTAATTGCAATTTAAAATCAGCCAAAAGCCTGCCAGGACAGGAATCTGTGCATACTTTTAAATTGACTTTTATACATAGATATCCCAGAAAAAATTGTTAATTTATATCTTCCATCCTAAAAAAGTTTGTTCACATTTCTTTATTTAGATATTTTTGATAAATTTATTTTTAAGAAGTAATCAATTAATTTTGGAATATAATTTGCTTTATGGCAGATATTCATCATCATTGATGTTAATATACAGTGGCAGAAATAAATAGTTGGAATGCAAAATAGAGACAAATGCCATGTTTGCATGTGCAAACTGAACGTGCTTAAAAATTGGACTTATGTAGTTTCACAATTTAATCCAACATATTTTCTGTGGTTTTTGTTAATAAAATTTGAACAGATGTACAGTACATGCCAAATACTATAAGAAAAAGATAACATACACCACTGTCTGTCAGCATTATGTAAAAACATTTATTTTACTAGTACTTTCGACAGTATGGTCTTTGTTAAATTTACACTGCTTTATTTTAAATAAATGACTTTTTTGATATACCTCAATGTCAAAAGTAAGTAGGTATTGCATAGTTTCAATAATACCATATTTATTCCACCTACATTGAAAAAACAAAAGATTAATACTGCATTGGATCATCTTTGGCTTGTATGACAGCTTGTAAACATTGTGGCATTGTGTCCAGCATTGTTTGTAGAACTTTAATGTTGTTTTTGCTCCATTCATCAAATAAGGCTGTTCAGTAGACTTTCAAGCTTTTCTTCTTTGATCCAGCTCATCCCAAATATGTTTGATGGGATTCAAATCTGGTGGCCAGGTTAGCAGTTCAAACCCCTCGGAAGCAAAATATACTTGACTAGCCTAGACAAATGATTTGGGTCATTGTGTTTACACACAAATTTGATGTTGATGTCCATATCTTTTGCTGATTAACAAAGATTGTTTTCTAATATTGCCTTGTACAGTTTTGCATCCATGTGTAAGGTTGACGACTTTTAGAGGCAATAAGTTAATTGTGTGTCAGGAAAACCTAGGGTCAAATCGTATGTGGGTGGTGGTGGAGGCAAAGATGACAAGTGTCTTACATCAAACCATTTATTTTTGACATGAAATTAATTTACATAGTATCAATACACAATGTGATCTAGATCGGCTTGGTGGTGGTGGTGGTGGTCTCCGATTGTCGGCGATCAGATGCAGCTCATGGTCTGAAGATACTCGCCCCGGGGCTTGAATGGCAAAGCGTTTGTTGCATAGAAGGAGAGGCTTGAATGGCGAAGTGTTGGTGGACAAAGGTCCTGGATCTACGAAGCAACACTTCAGAGGAGAATCGACCTTTGTCCTTGAGATTTGGGGGTTTTATAATATTTTCCCTGAATATCACCCTTTTGATTGGTCCTGTTCACCCTCTCCCTTACCCTGATTGGTCATTCTTTTGTCTCTAGGCAAAACCCAAGATCGAACCAGGTCTGGAAAAGGTAGGAGAGGTGATAATGGAGCTTTTAAAGTCTGCACTCATATTTTACTCTGTTATGGCCATTTTCTCTGACATGTTTGAACCTAAATGGTCTACTAGATGTTCTTGTGTCCATTTACCCCCTAACAAGTTTGGGCCTACATGACTTAACAGATGTCCCTTTAGTCATTAAATCCCCCTTTCTCGATTGTTTCGACCCAACACTTGTTCATGAGCATCTCAACAAAGCTCTCTCTGTTGACATTCCCCTCTGCTGTTTATCATCACATCACATTTGTTTTACAATAGTAAGAAAGTTTTCTTTCTGTTTGCATTTTGTCACCAACACACCCTCTTGACCCAATTCGATCTTCGAAACTCTCCGACTTAAAAGTTTCATAATTAGTCAAAATTTCAACGCGCTTTTACAACCCTGAAACATACAATTGCTGATTTCTTCCTACTGGCAGTGTCCACAATGAGATAAACCATATCATCATAGATTGGGAATGCTTCACAGTCCCAATGCAATTGGTAGGCTTGTAGGCAAGGTTCTTTCATGACACAGTTTGTTGCCATCTCAAGCCCGCAATCTCAAATTTCAATTCATTGCTCCAAATCACTTTGTTCCAAAATCCAGGAGGATTTTTAAGTGATCCCTTGAAAAAGCTAGCTTCTTTAGTGTTCACTTTCAAAATGAATGGCACTTGACATGCAATGCATCTGTGAGAATCGGGGTTTAAGCATCAAAGCTTGAACCGTTTTCCGACAACGGGGCGGTGAGTCCCGCTCACAGGGTCAGTGGATGGCAATTTAGGAGGGCGAAAATCGAGTGGGAGGTCGCGGATAAGTCGATAAGGTGTTGACCGAGTACGAGTAAACACACATATTTAAAATAACATATATATATATATTTAATTAACTAATGATATATTTGAAAAGGTTACAATAATTAATAATACTGCTAATCTCTAACCGAGGTTACTATAGGCGGTTTTCCGGTTACATATTTACGATAGAGGATATTCTTTGATCCTTCTTAAAATCTATTTAGGAGTTAGCCCAAGTCCACCTGAGAGAAGGGAGAGAATTCTAATTACTAATTTGTAGCTTGTAGAATCTAACCGTGTTGTCCGTCTTTGGCGGTCAGCGATGAGGATCGTTAATCCGTTATTTCCTTCTAAGTTGGAGGCCACCCCGATACTGGCCGGGAGCCCTCTTTATACTGATTTCGAGGGGGTGAGAACTATGACGTTATTCATGATTTATCCGCACACTTGCTAGTGTGTTGATATTTGGATCTAGCTAGTTCGGACAAATGACAGAGAAGTTTGTTTAATTTATTGTTATTGGTGTCAAAATGATATGATTTTATGATATAAATTTCTATAGGTTTGATGGCTCTCATCCATAAATTAACAATCATTTGACAATAATTTCTTTAACCTGGTCAACTATTTAGTTATTGTTTATATCAAACGTCGTGTTTGACTATGAACAAGGCGATTTATTACCGTAACCACGTGTTACGTGCAACCAAGAGGTGATAAGAAATATCTCTTATTCCCTTCTTGTTGATACTACGTCTATAGAATAACTGTTAAACAAATAGAGATGATTTCTCTTATTGATATTTTAACATTCTCCTTTTTTTCTTATTCGAGGAGAGCGTCTCGGTCATTGACCGCAGAAGTCCCCCTTTTCTCTTTTACTAGGAAAATTCCTAGATTTACTGATCTAAAACAGAAAAAGGGTTTCGGACCTTCACACATCCTTTAAATCAAACTTCATTGAGTTGAAGATGGACAACTGATAAAGATGTTTCAATGCCAAAGTGTTCCCGATAGCCTGGGCAAAAGCTTGCAGGTTAGTGGAGGCTTCACACCAAATGGTATGTTCTTCTTGTGATGATGTGCATTGTGGTAGCTGGAACAATGAAAGTTTTGGACAGTGCCAAACCTCTCCGTCATCTTTATAACCTTGCAAATATCTTCAAAGAATAAATTCCTTTCTCTCACAATCACCCTGATGCTTTTCCCTGCACAATGATCATTAACAATTTCAATCCTCATATTATCAGGAAGTTCACCAGATTTTGGCATCTTGTGGCTTGATTATTCTTCACAAAAGTGCCCAACATGTCCTAACTTTACTGAAACCTATGTCCTCTCTAGCAGTGATAGAATATTGACTAATCAGATAGATTCTTTTTCAAATTTTTATGATTTATGGGCATAACTATTTACTTTTGAACAAGTTGTTTTGACTTGCTTAGGCATTGTTTTAGGCACAATTTTGAAATTATTATTTGTCAAAAACTAACATAAGTGATAATACAGTGTTGTTATAGATATTTACATAATTTCACAAGCTACTGTTGGTAACTTTGTATCAACAGGTAATGCAAAAATGTTGCTTAGTGTTTGCATTTGGTATTATTTTACCTTCCCACTTACTTTTGACTACCAATGTACTGTAATGTATTATAATAATAAATTTCAAGCTATAGAAATAAAAAAATTCTTACCATATTTCGCAGAACATCTAAGATGTTGGATATCGTAGAATTTGGATCATCATCCTATATTTAATATATTATTATTATTATTATTATTATTAGTATAAACTCAAAAATAAATTTTTACCGTAATAAAATAAGAAATTATCAAAAAAACATAACACCTTAATTTGTTGAGAAAATTTAATGAAAAAACAAACGCTTTCAGCCAACTGAAAGCATTTTGTTTTTTCATTAAATTTTCTCAGCAAATTAAGGTGTTATGTTTTTTTGATTTACTTATGCTGAGTGAGGGTACTTCAAGAAATTATCATCTTTATTTCAATAAAATATTTATTATCCAAGATTTTATATTCATGATAATATACAAGGGCTCACTTTATCATTTATCCTGATGCAAAAGATTGCACAATAATGTGCATAGCCAATGGTTCATTACTTTCACTACCATGTTTTAAGTAAAATTAATTAATTCATTAAACATATACAAATTGGTGGAAGTTCCACAGTAATACATAAATTTTCCAAACTAAAGAACAAAATGTAAATCAAAATGCAATCTTCACAAATCATGTGGCAACACATAATTCAATATCCTTATAAAAGACCCAACATTATGTAGTCTTCTATTTCAGCAGTCGGCAACCTTTCTCACCTCAGAGACCACTAAAGTCACAATTTTGAATCCCGCAGACCATTATCATGAATTTTTTTAAACAATACAAAATCTGTAGAATAATGATCATAAAAGTTCAGTTTTACTATATTAATATGAAACTCACATATTTAATTATAACAAATTACTGCAAGCCTAAAGTTCATTGCTGCTTGTTTGAAACAAGTTTATGGATTCTTCATGCTTTTCCACGAAGGACGACAATCGCACTCACAATATTGTTTATTGTTCATTATTTATTGATAACAGTCACTTCGTTTTTGGTTTTAGATTCGAATAAAAAACCCCAATGAGTGAAAAAAGAAACTAAGATTTTGCATTTCTTTTGTAATAACATTCGCATAACCTTCAGTTGATCAATGTTCCAATTTCTCCATGGACCACTCAAATTTTCTCGTGGACCGCGGACCACCGGTTGCCGACCGTTGTTTTATTTGGTACAGTGGAGTACAATAGAGCATCGATTATCCGAATGCCGATCAACCGAAACGTTGGTTAACCAAAAGCGTTCCAGTCAGACTGTGTTGTGCTGAATCAAACATTTTTGATACTACATTAACATTTACAGTATAATTTTTTGTTTTTATATTTCTCAATATATTTTGTTTGTACAAAATAAAGAAATAATTTTTTAACAATACAATAGACATGATTATTATTATAAAAATGTTATAAAAAATTATACCATCGACGAAAATTCAACATGAAGTGACACACAACGGAGAAAAATGTAAACATGGGATATATTGATATACTATATTAATAATGTATTTTTCTGTACATAATTGGTTATCCGAAAAATTGATTTTCCTAACAATCCCAGTCCCCAATTGATTTGGATAATTGACGCTCTACTGTACTGAAACATTGCCTTATACCAGTGATTCTCAACCTTTTTTTCATCACAGTACATTTTTAATAATTTAAAAATTTGGCGGCACACACGGTTATTTCGGTAAGTACCACAGGACAACCGGCGACATCATAGTGATTTTTAAACACAGTTGGTTATTTAGATCACATTTTCTAAATGCCTCAGTAACTATCGGCAATTACTGGTAACACCGGTTACAATTTCCAAACATGCCCTGGGAAGGTAGAACTAATCGAACTACTTCTCTGACGTTGCTTATGTTTGGGTATTCACAGTGGTGGCATACTTCCAAAATCTTGCAGCACAGTGGTTGAGAATCACTACCTTTTACTAACAAATACTACTGAGAAATGATTATACTTTATGAGGAAATAAAATGAAAAGAGAAACAAGCACAAAGATTCCACACATCTTGCAGCTGCACCAACAACAAACAATTTTGAATATGTACTACAGTGCAATAAAACTGTTTTTGTATTAATTTATTCAATGTTGGTTTTTATCTTTTACAATCAAAGATTCTTTGTATATTATGGTAAATGATTTCCTTCTGTTAATTTACTCTTGGAAAAAAGAGAGAATTTTGCATGTTGCTACAGAATTATCAAGCAATTTGAACAGTGTTCACTTTAACATATTAAATAACATATAATATAATAAAAAAATAAAACAAACTTTTATTATAATAACAATACAAGTAAAATATATGCAGTTTACACTGGAATATATGTAACAACAAATATAGAACCAATTTCCGGTGCAAATAATAAACAAAAAATAAAAATATATAAAAAAAAACAACAAACACTGCACAAACATTTTCTAACTCCTTCCATGTTCTTCAGGTGCAACAGAATGGTTATCCAATGGAACATTATCAGAACAAATGTCTATTTCTAAAAATTCTTAAAACAATGTACACATAAATCATGCATTCTTTCAAAACTATAAATATAAATTTAATGCTACGTAGGTGTTGTCATGCAAAAAACAATATTAAATTAACCACTATAATGTTGCATGTAATAGGGCCTGCCAGGCATTGACAACATCATTTCCTCTTTAAAATTTATACAGGATGACTCGAAGTTATGTTTAAAAACCTCTATGGCCTATAACCATCTGAGATGCTCTATGTGTGATGTTTAAGATGAGTTTGGTCCATGTGAAGTCCACAACTATTTCTGGATCTACCATATACGTAGAGGGCTGTGGATGTTCTGGCATGTTGAACGTCTCAGATATACTCTTGTATTCTCTTTTTCATAGAACGTTTAGTGGACCCAATGTATAGATGGATCCTATCACATCTGGTGTCTCCAATAGGGATACTGTATATGCTGGAAAGTCTGCTAGGGTTGGGTAGTCCTTTCCATTTTGAAGAATGATGAAAATAGACAAGCACCTCCGCAAAGCGATGCAAACTGCATTTTCTGGCAATTGTCTTGGCAAACCTGGGGACATCCGGAGAGTCAAGAACAACATTATCTAGAGCCATGCACTCAACTAGCTTAGTATGGGTGAAACATTTAACTCTAGATTGTAATTTATTGATGAATACATCAACTCTTTCACACTGTTTGTGTGATGTATTCTTGCAAGCACTGTATTTACGCATCCCATTTCACAACAACCAAGGCTTTGTTTTGTCGGCTCTAGGTTCTTCACTTCCCAAATGTCCCCAGGCTGTTGCATTTGCCAAGACATACAAACAAGGGCAACACCATCCAGTGATAAATAAAGCTAGAGCACCCATCTGATTACTGGAAAAGTCCACCCACACACTTCTTGTAGCTCAATTAGAGGGGTATCCTTTCATGATTACAAGCTCAGTGGACTCGTACACTTCCAGAAAACACATTTATTAATAACACAAATATTTTTGGAATATTTCAGAAGCCTGTGCAGGTTTCACATACTTGCTTCAATTTGATAATGTTCAAAACTGGAATGTTACTCAGTGACATTATTTAATTTTTAAGATATACAATGTCCTGTACAGTGGTGCTTTGTATAACATATGCCTTGAGTAACGGACACTGCGAACAATGGACTTTCTGTTTAGCCGTTATGTGACTCGAGTAACAGACTAACTGCGAACAACGGACTTTCTGTTTGGCAGTTATGTGAGGAGAACAACGGGCTTTCTGCAAACAAGTGCAAATGATGTTTCCACTCTTTTGCCATTGCCAATGACAATCTGCTATTTTTATAATATTAGGTTGGGGAAAAAGAAATCCATTATTTTGTCACTAGATGGCTGTAGTGATACATATCTCATAAAATATTGATGACACAAGTTCAGACTTGTGCTTATTGGAAAAGTGACATTCTGTACTAAAAAAAATTCTTTTACAGTTTTTTGATTGGTCAATTCAGTTGTGAGTTATAGGGTGTAAAAGATGGAAGTTAACAAAGAGAAANTCAGTGCAGGGTATTTACATTTATTCGTTGTGCAAATCATGGCTTCTAAAAAAACAGAAAGGTGATTTCAATTGAAACAAAGCAAGAAATCATCAGAAGGAGTGAAAGGTGACAAAAATGGAGAGAGGTGCAGGAGTTTACCAACACTCATTATCTAAAAACAGCTGAGGCCAACAGGATCAACGATCTCTACAATGACACCCCTGTCTGTCATTTCTGATAGGTGTTGAAAAAGAGAGAGAAACAGACCACTTTGGACATGTTTTTCAAGAAGCCAGCTGCCAAAAAACAAAGGATGGAACAAGAAGAGTTGATCCTGCAAGCTCCAATTAAAAAACAATAAAAAGAGACCTGCTGCAATGTATAAAAAGTGTATGTCTGTATGAATGTGTGAAGAAAGTGTTCCTCCACCTCCTCCTCACAACATCTGACTTGCCAGCATAATTGGTGACTGCTCCATTTTCATTTTTTATAGTACAGTATGGTTATTTTATGCTGCGGAATGAATTATGTTTTAACATGTATTTCTATGGGAAAATGCATTTCATATAACGAACTTTTCACTTAACGGACGTGCACCTGGAACAGATTAAGTACGTTATATGAGGCACCACTGTATTTCTCATACATTCATAATTAAAAATGTAATTTAAAAAACATAGTACCCTATATAATTATGATAAAATATAACAGTAAATAATTCTAAGACAAATGAAGATACAGTAGAACCTTGAGTATCCAGACTAATTGGGAATGAAGGTAGTCTGGATAAGGAAAAATCTGAATAATCAAAAAAATAATAATTGACAGTGAAAGAATGTACTGTATATACAGTATGAATAATTTTTATTTGTCTAGATTTGCATATAATGTAGCTTCAATATTAAATTATTTTTTTATTAAGAAATTCAATTATTGTTCAACTTCATAATTTTTTCACTTTGTTTTTTTATATCTGAGATCGTTGACACAACACCATATTTATTAGATTATGAACGTCCAGACTCAACGCATTTCAAAGCATTGATTATATCCAATTTGTTTTTAATGATAATACCATGTTTTCTTTTCAATGACATATTGGTAATATCAAAAATAAATACTGTATTTAAATCTTGATCAAATTTTCAAGAAACAAACATTCATATTGAATTTGGAATGACCAGTACTAACAGACTGCCTATTGTTTAAAGGCCCTCTGGTGGTGCAAGAAGATGGATTTTATAAAATAAGAAGCAGTTGAAACTGTCAAATTTTTATTCATAAAAATGCAAACTATTTATCATTTTATGACGAGTAAAATTTTTTCGTCTTGTTCATGGCTTTTAAGTAATGCATAAACCTTCAAGGTGTGAGGCTGTAGGCAGTGGCCCATGTTGCCCATACCTTATACCACCCTTGGCCATAGAAATGATGTAATTTCAATATAAATTATTTATAAATATATATATCAAGTTATATTTTTATTATGATGCAAAATGTATTAAATTAAAAATTACTATTTATCCAGACTATGCAAAATGTATTAAATTAAAAAGTTTACAACCACTGTGCCAGGTGAGACGTTGGAACAAAAAAGTTATGCATTCCATCACATACATAAACAGTGTTGCAATTCGCCAAGTGCAAATCAGCAAATTCGTAAAAATTTTCTTTATTTTGAACAATCCAGATAATCGAGGTTCTACTGTATATATTTTTCTACATGTTGCAGTTGATTTGCTATCTTGTGATAAAACATTTTTACATGGATTATCATATAAAGGTTGCCATGTGGCTGATAGAGATTCAGTCTTTATGATTTATGCATTCTCCTTTTAATGTGGCCTTAAATATATAAAAACCACAACAATAAACTGGAATGATATATATAGATTCTCACCTAAGCACAAAATTTCCAGCAAAATACCCAAATTTAACATTCGAATGTTTTCGGCCACTCGTTAATTGGCCTTCTTCAGGAAAAGTCAAATAAAAATAACTGTTCTATTTACAGAATGTAGCCACGTTCTACAGTCATCCATTGGCATTGTTTTACTTGGACAACCTTTTATTCAGCTGTACCTTAAGAAGGCTTTCCAAGCTCATGAAACAACACTTTTGTTGATCCCAAACTCTTGGGCTACACTTGTCATACTGTGCCCCTCCTAAGCTTGCCAATCATTCTATCACATGTAAAGTCATCCAGATGGTTTCTTCTAGCCATATTGCACTTACAAAGTCACTTGAACTTGCAGCGAATGTCTTTAATAACACCTTTCGTCCTTTTTTTTATTGTAGTCTTGCACTGCATCACTGACTACAGACATTTTGCATGCTCTCAAGTCACCTGTAATGTCTTCTTCCTGATATTTGTGTACAAATCACCTTTCTACTGAATTGGATGTTCATTGTACTGATCACAACAAGCTCTTTTCTACAATTTCATGGCTATCTGGATAAAAATTACATCGTTGCTTAAGTTTTGTATGCCAATATATTTACTAATGAACAATCAATGGTACAAATGATATTTGTTGAAAATAACAAATCAATAGTAAATATTATATCTCTGATGAACTTATCTATAGAATCATATAACTAGTACATGCATACACATGTAATAATACAATTTTACAGCTATAGACATTTAATTCAAACTTGGATAGTTCAAAATCCCTTTAGTTCTTAACTGTACTATTTGTCCAGCTGAGGATATAGAGATTTACATGTTATGGAATTTGGTTATTTCAAAATATGGCTACTTTGAATATCTATACAGCAAAGACTACAGAAAACTGGTGGAATGATAACAAAAAAGTCATCAAAAACTCTGAAGTTAAGATGCTATGGGACTTCAGAATACAAACAGACAAAGTTCTAGCACATAATACACCAGATGTAACTTGTGGTTGAAAAACTGTGAATCATAGATTTTGCCATACTAGGAAACTCTTGAATTGAAAAAACACCAAAACAAGAAAAAAATAACAAAATATCAAGATATAAAGATTAAAATTCAAAGTTTATGGCACAAACCAGCAGTCGTGGTACCAGTGGCCATTGACACACTGGGTGCTATTCCAAAATACCTATGCCAGCACTTAAAAAATCTGAAAACTGGAAAAAAATCACCATCAGTCAACTACAAAAGACTGAACTGCTTGAATCCACACATATTCCACATCAATACATTACTATATCTTTGATTCTGATGTGTAAAAATGGAAAACACCAATAATACAACCAATGGTTGAGAAATAGTAATAGTACATGGTAATAGTAATAACTGATGTACACTCACTCAGCATTTGTATGTAAATCAAAAACAACACCTTAATTTGCTGAGAAAAATTTAATGAAAAGCAAACATTTTCAGCCAAATCTGTTGGCCATCATCAGGCTAAGATATTCGAATATAAACAAAATAGAACAAAAATTTAAATACAAATAAAATAAAATAACGAACGAAATATATATATAAATGTATAAAGAAAAATAAAATTAAAAAATTATTATTATAAATAACAAAATATGTATATGAAAAAATAAGCATAGGTTAATTAAATATTAAAACGTTATATAGAAATTCAATGAAATGCAAGATATGCAAAAAAATACTAAAATCAAGGCATTAAATTAAGAGCTGTCTAATCGTTTAGTTAAGTATTTCCAGGCCGAAGACAACCCTTCAGAATCTCTAGAATTAATGCATACATCATGCAATCTGCTCTTATATATTTCAATTTTTTCGGTGCAAATTGCCTATGTCGGTGAATGTACTGGTTTAATAATACTTGCTTCGTTCCATTTGACGATTGAGCCTTCAACTTGCGCCAATTGCGATAGTATTGTGGCATTAGATTCCTTGCTGATATTGTATTTATGTTCTTTTAATCTGACTCCTAAACTTTTATTAGTGACACCAATATAATTTTTATTAATGTCTAGTTCACGATTTTCATATGGAATCTTGTATACTTCTGCTCTTTTTTCTTTATCTATGCTGTCTTTGTCATTCCTTAATAATTTGTACAGGTTAGAANCAAGATATGCAAAAAAATACTAAAATCAAGGCATTAAATTAAAAGCTGTCTAATCGTTTGATTAAGTATTTCCAGGCTGAAGGCAACCCTTCAGAATCTCTAGAATTAATGCATGCATCATGCAATCTGCTCTTATATATTTCAATTTTTTCAGAGCAAATTGCCAATGTCGGTGAATGTACTGGTTTAATAATACTTGCTTCATCCCATTTGACGAAGCAAGTATTATTAAACCATTAGAAAAGCCATCATGAAGGAAATCTCAGCCTGCAAAAAGTCTAAGTTAATTTTCAAGAGAGCTCCTAACCTGTACAAATTATTAAGGAACGACAAAGACAGCATAGATAAAGAAAAAAGAGCAGGAGTATACAGGATTTCATATGAAAATCGTGAACTAGACATTAATAAAAATTATATTGGTGTCACTAATAGAGTTTAGGAGTCAGATTAAAAGAACATAAATACAATATCAGCAAGGGATCTAATGCCACAATACTATCGCAATTGGCGCAAATTGAGGGCTCAATCGTCAAATGGGACGAAGCAAGTATTATTAAACCAGTACATTCATCAACATTGGCGATTTGCTCCGAAAAAATTGAAATATATAAGAGCAGATTGCATGATGCATGCATTAATTCTAGAAATTCTGAAGGGTTGCCTTCAGCCTGGAAATACTTAATCAAACGATTAGACAGCTTTTAATTTAATGCCTTTATTTTAGTATTTTTTTGCATATCTTGCATTTCATTGAATTTCTATATAACGTTTTAATATTTAATTAACCTATGCTTATTTTTTCATATACATATTTTGTTATTTATAATAATAATTTTTATTTTATTTTATTTTTCTTTATACATTTATATATATATATTTTGTTCGTTATTTTATTTTATTTGTATTTAAATTTTTGTTCTATTTTGTTTATATTCGAATATCTTAGCCTGATGATGGCCAACAGATTTGGCTGAAAACGTTTGCTTTTCATTAAATTTTTCTCAGCAAATTAAGGTGTTGTGTTTTTGATTTAAATAGTAATAACAATAAAATGTCTTGCTTCCAAGCATGTTTAGACTATATTTTTTAATTTATCTATTACTGCATTATATATACATTAAATAATCTACAAATATTTGCAAGTTCTCACTTATATTTAAAAATATTTAAACATACCTCTTGAGGTGTTTCAAATGATCTTCCTGTTGTTCTTATAAGCCATGCAGACAAAGCTGTAAAAATAAAAAACTGTTCTCCAGGATTTGTTTGCAGAGCAAAATAATGTCTGAAAAGTAAATAACATTATTAGATTAATACTGTATTCTTTTAAAACTTAAATCATTTAACTAGATGTATTCAAATTATTTTTATTCTTTCCCAAAAATAAATGTGATAAATAATAAAAAAAACTAAAATTATAAAATTAAACTAAGTAATCATTTATTGCGACATCATCATAATGCTGGGCTGCAATTTTTTAATCATATTTTTTAAAATTTATTTAATTTAAATATATGTTCTCCATCTCAAATTAGTAGTCATGCCCCAGTATGCCATACTTTTCCTATTAACAATAGAGTTGTACCAGTCATCTATTAACTCCTTTAGAAAAAAAATTTTGAATTGAAATAATGTTAATTCTGCATTGAAAGTTCATATATTGTTAATCAGGTACCTCCTGCCCCTAAGGTTTCCATATTTAGTCTCAGATTTAATCTATCTAATTCTTAAGAATGGAATTAGATAGATTAAAGAAGAACAGACGGATAGGTGGATGAACAAACAGACAGTAGGAATTTATAGGTCTACAATTTTTCAAATTGCAGCCAACTAAAATTTTCAACTACTTTCATCAATCATTGTCAGGTTACAAATATACAAACATACCGAAGTTCAATATTTTGGTAATAAACCATAAGCCAAACTATTGCCGGAATAAATCAAGCTACTTTACCACTATTATTTTTAATGAAATTCTAAATAATAGTCATATATCTTATTAAATTTAATAATTATAATTAAATTAATATTCAATAAATAATTCAGAATATTCCAGAAGAATAGAATTGCCCAGAGCAGGACTTGAACTAACAACTCCTACTTACCCATGTGAATGAATTGCCAATTATGCTACCCGGACCTCCATCCAGATGGTTATATCTAAATTAAAATATGCACAGAAATGGAGGATCATTTGAAGGTCCGGTTAGCATAACTGGCAATGCAATCAGACTGGAAGTGGGAGTTACAGGTTCGAGTCCTGCTCCAGGCAATTCATTTCTTCCAGAATATTCTAAATTATTCCAGAAGAAAAGGAAAAATAGGAAAGTATCCTATCAGGAAAATAGACTATACATTTCTGGTTTGGTTTTCCACAGGCAATTATCCAATTGATTAAACAATAAAGCAACCAGACAATTGCAGGTAATTTTCACCATCCTGTATGTTCTTTGCTCCATGTCCAGAATTTGATTGTGAAATTTATGGCATGTGTACTGATGATATAGTTAGTTTAAATGTCAGATAATATAAATAAATTTTTAATGTAATTATTAATTATTAGTGATGTAACGAATAGTATATTCGGCCTCAGGCCGAATACCGAATATTCGGCCAAGAGTTTGGCCGAATAGCCGAATATTCGGCCAAACTATTCGGCTTCATTAACGCACGTACGAAAAATTGGCGCGCAAATCGCATTATATGGCAAGAATCGCGCACCCTGCTCTCTATTGGCTTGCTGTCACTATACTTCTTGAATCGCGTTAATTGTTGACAGTTGTAGCGGACAGACATTAGTGTCATGGCAGTATGTTATAAGTGATGATATCAAATGTGGATAACAATGAAATGACCTACACCTGTAAATAGAGAGTTTGCGGCGGAAGTTTTCAACGCGAAAACGTGTACGTCCGACGTTCAGCGCCGCCTTCCTGTAAGCCTAGAAGTTTGACAATGGCGTTCGGAATGTCGAGCATGATTCCACTGACTTCCAAATGCCATTGTCAAAAAACGTCTAGGCTTACAGGAAGGCGGCGCTGAACGTCCGACGTAACTGGAATAGCTTCTACTTCAAAGAACATCATAGCAGGTGACCTTGATATGTACTTGAGCATGAAAACTTTAAAGAGAAACGACGATTCATTTGCCTGGTGGGCTACACATAAATCTAAATTTTCCCCATGTTTAGTCAAACTGGCTGCTAAGTACTTATCAGCTATTGCAAGCAGCATGTATTCAGAGAGGCTTTTTAGTGAAGCAGGAAACGTATACGAAGAAAAGAGGTACAGACTTCTTCCCATTAATGCAGAAAAGTTGATTTTTCTGCACCATAACCTACCACTTATTGACTTCAGTTATAATAAATAATTTTGTACAATGAAACAAAAAAGTTAATTTAATATTCAAGTTTATAATAAAAAATGATTTCATAAAATTACAGATCATTAATTATTATTTTTTCACATTTTATGACCTAAGTTTCGAATTAATGTGCCCACGCAGTAAAACAAGCCCACGCAATTTTCATACAAATTTTTTACCCTTTTTCACTCCTTTAGGGTTTAATTTCGTAAAATTTTTTTCTTAGTGCGTCTAAACTTTACAAAAGGAACACGCCCTCAAATTTTTAAGATTCTAGCACCAGTAGTTTTGGGTCTGCGTTAATTATCCTATCAGGACTTGTTTTTTTATATACGGGTTTATAGATGACTAAACTACATAATAAGTAGGTAGATTTCATTTGATTTGTTATTTTTTTTGATCTCTTAAAAAATAACTTAGTTATATTACTTTTCCTTTGATCTTTTACATAAATAAGCAAAAAATTGCGCTTTCTCGATCTTGAAATGTATTGATATGTTCAGCATTGATAAAAGTTACCAAAATGATTAATTTACTGTGTTTTGTTATTTCTTACTCCTGTTTTTAGGTATTCGGTATTCGGCCGAATAGTGATTAAATATTCGGTATTCGGCCGAATAGTAAAAAATAGGCCGAATACCGAATAGTGGCCGAATATTCGTTACATCACTATTAATTAT